TATATATATATATATATATATATATATATATATTTTAAAACGAATGTATAATTAATTATACGTAACAGAGATTTTGAAAGAAAAAAGGTATTAGATTTAATTAAAAACAGTAGATATTTGTATATTTAGATTTGGATTTTATATCTTTAGTTCACATATAAAATTGTATTATATATTTTTTTAGCATCTTTAATATAGCATGTAATATATCCCGTTTTATTCTCTATATTTAAAAGATATATATCTCTGTATCTTAATTGATTTCATATCTAAAATGTAGAAAACCCTTTCATTTTTACGAGTTAAATAAATTCGTTTTTTTTTTCCTCTTGGATCTCTCTCTATGTATATATATTGGGTGGCAAGTGGAAAAGTATAGATAAGAGCATTAATATTTGAGAGAATTAAGGAGGAGGGAGGAGGAGACAGGAACCTTATGTCATGGAAGGGCTTCTCATCATAGCAATTGTTGTAGCAAGTGGAAGCATCTGTTGGATCCTACTGATCTATTCATGATGATGGCTGATGATATGTAGAGGGCCCTCTTCCTAAGAAGGGAGTGGCATCCCTTTTTTACCCAAAAGACCCTCCCTCCTCCTCTTGCGTTTCTTAAGATTTGTGTCCAATTTCAACACACATCTCAATGGGTGCACTGACCTGGATGCAGTGCTAGCAACTGTTCTCCGTACCGACGAGAAACATAGACAAGCTGTATGAAACAACAGGGTAAGGTAAATTAATTACCTTCTGTACTCCTTTATCTTCCCCCCTCTAGAAATGATCTCCTGTATGAAACAACAGAGAATAGTGTAAATTAAGATAATGTGTTGAATTTGTCCTTTAATTTTATCATTTTTATTTATTTGGTAAAAATTATTCAAGTATATATTAAATAATGAGTTTAAATTAAGAATAAATGCGTTATTGAAACCCCAAGATGATGTGTCTCTTGCTGAGTGAAAACAAAGCCTTCTCTTGTGCCCTTGAAAGAGCCACTCTCAGGCGATGTTAAGCTTGTGGCCATTTTTCCTAGAATGTGACACGAAACTATCATAGCAATTAATGCATGGATGTGCTGATAATTACATGAACTGCTTCAAGTTAGCTAGTGAGTTCTCTTCCAGACGAATGCCACGCATGCTTTTTCGATAAATCATGCATACAATCTCACCCTGTTAATTAATTTATCATAAACATGAACACAATGTTAATACGTAGTTAATCATATATATTGAACTGCTTCAAGTTAGCTAGTGAGTTCTCTTGGTGTAATGATTACTATACCATACATACATATATATATGTATGTATGTGTGTGTGTGTGTGTGTGTGTGTATATATATGTATATATTCTTTCTTTCATTCATAAAGGAATAGAAACACTAACATATTTTGAAATGATCATAAATCAGCCAGCAAGTTTTAACAAAAACCACCATGTAGAATTAGATTGAATTCCATATATATGTAATTTTAATACAATTAATAACTTGTTATAATTTTTATATCTGAAATAAAATGCTAAACCACAAAATTAAACTTTATTATACTATTTAAAATACATGTGAAAATGAATTAACAAATTTAATTATTTTATCCTCAATTCATAAATCAAATATGACAGAAATTGTAAGATATGGTTTCACTATATAGTATGGTATGGTGGAAGCTTACATAGGTTGGAAAAATGTGCGAAAAGATAATGTAAAAGCAGTCACATTTTTGGCGATGGGAAACCATTGTCAGGTGATATCATCCATGACTGTTTGAAAATTCTTGAAGAGGAAAGCCTTGCCATTCCTTGGCAAAAAGGTGATCGATGTTCTATTGATAGATAATTGGGCTGTCTTTTCATGCCTGAGTATCGTTCGATTCACCTCGTTGAATCCTAGCTTCACCGTGCAACTAGTATTATACCTGTTATTTGACCTGTTAATTTACTGTAAAAGAAAACTACTAGCTAAGTAATTAGTAAATAATATTGCCTCCATTCTCATATATATATTTTGCTGCACAACTAATGATATTGTTGAGATTCAGATGCATAATTCTTCAAATAACAAATTTTATTTTTTAGTTTAGAAAGTCTTTTTACCAACTGAACAAGGTGTCCAGTTGAAGAAGAAGAGACGAAAAGAGAGCGTGGGGGGAAGAAGAGACGCGAGTTAATTAGGGTTACTAGAAGGAAATAGAGATGCTATATCTTTGAAAAATAATTTTCAATGCCATTTCTTTAGCGGATTAGAGGGTCTATCCTCTTTGATATGCTTCTGATTATTTTTTTATAAATTAAATTCTATATGGAGTTCAAATTAATATCCTTAAAAGAACTTCAAAAATATAAATTGATTTAATCTTTTAAATTAATTTTTTAAAACAAATAAGAGAGTATCCCATATGATTTGCTTTTCATCATTTTTTATAAATTGAATTCTATTTAAAATACATACCAATATCCTTTCTGATTTAATCATGTGAATTAAATTCGATTTTAATGATTCTGATCATTTTATAAAAATCTATCATGAATTCAAACTAATAATATAATATTTTATACCTTAAAAGATATAGCTTAACCAGGTTAGATCTTAGATTTACTTTTTAGAAATTACTAGTTCAAGTTCTACAAAACTCAAAGTTATTTAAGATCTATATGATCGTTATTTTTAGGGTTCATAGATACAAGTTAATTCAAATACTTATATTAACAAAAAAATAAAGTGTATCAATTAATTAATAATTAAAGGTCTCATGTATGATTGTCATTAACAATAATCAGAACATTGAGATTAATTACTTTTCGTAAACTTTATATTTTTGATAAGTCATGAGTGTGTGTTTATAAATTTACACATTGCAATTTACATAAATTTAACCTTAAATTGTATTTCACTATCATACTGTTGCTTTATTATGCTTGCAATTTACATAAATTTAACCTTAAATTGTATTTCACTATCATACTGTTGCTTTATTATGCTTGCAATTTACATAAATTTAACCTTAAATTGTATTTCACTATCATACTGTTGCTTTATTATGCTTGAAGATCGTAGAATTAATGTGATTTAATTAGCAATTAACCACTTGATCATTGCTTTCTTATACTTGAAAATATTAGAAAAGCTTCAAAATTAAAAACCACATCACTTTACACAAACGTAAATCTAACCTGTTGTGTGGCCTCCAAACCACTTTATAATTATTTAAAGCTTTTACTATTTAGCTATTCAGAGAGATACCAAATCATGCGTCCTGTAATTAAATAACACGTCATCTTACACATAGTAAATTGGCCCGCTGTGTGAAACCTACCACCCTATTTTATAATCATTTGACTAATCAATAGCCTTGCATTTAACACTTTACATCAATTAGATTTTAGTGTTCAGATACAAATTCTTATGTATCCTGCCATATTATAGATTATATTACATTTATTTTTATACAAAATTATTCTATGTAATATAAATTTTTATTTATATATAACATACCAATAATACATATATGTGTTACTTGCTAATATTTTAATTAATTTTTTAAAATTTTAAAATTAGTAATCATTTAGTAGCTTTAAAATTTATAGGATTTAAACTGATAATTTTTAAAAAATAAATTTAAAATTTTATTAGTTAAACTATATCTATTGATAATAATATTTATTAATTAATCATGTTATTTATGTTTTTTTTTAAGAAAATAATAATCTTAAGGGCAACGAAGAACATGAATTCATGGATAAATACGTACAGTTTGAGAATGTGATTTAATCTGCGGCAGGTGAAATAACATAATAGATTTCTAGCTATTTGCAGTATTTTACGAAAGGTAGGATTACTTGTCACAATTAAGAATCTTCCAAGAACACTAATAATAATAATAATTATTTTTTCCTGAGTTGGATATGGAATTAATTACTAATTAGCAAAAACATGCATGCATGCATGCATGCATACATTCATGCTTATACAAATACATGTATGAATACGCGTAGATCAACAATCGAGGCTCAGGAAATAAGACTTCGATGAAGATCTTGACTTGTTAACAAAATATTTCTAAACGCAAAAAGCTTCAGCACCTTTTTCCCCCATGGCTTCTGACCTTTTTGGTACACAATGGTAGTCAACAAAGAATGATATCCATACGTTGCTCCATTTTTTTTCTTTGCAAAGACCAAGAAAGGTTGATGCTAACAACTCTAAAAGTATCAAGAACAGTAGGGGCAATGATACAAGCCAAATAGTACAATATTGTTTGGTAAATATTTGAGGTGTTGGTTTTTGGACACCAAGGGCTCCATGCCCACCCTCCAAGAACTCCCCACCATGGCAGCAAGGGCACGTAGGTCACTCACTCATGGCTGGGGCTCATATGTGACCACAGAGGACCATCGTGCCCACCTCGGCTCCTAGGCCAGTAGTGTTTAGGGTTAGATTTTTATATTATTTCACCACGACGACAAATGGCCATTAGGGTTACATGCCCCATTACCTCCAAGAAAACAATATATATAAAAAAGGACTTAGGGTTTTGATGCTTTAAAACCCAACTCCACTCTCCCTAGAGGGCAGTCCCCCACACAACCTAATCAGAAACCGCGTAGGTGCAGAAGGCATCTTTGATTCTACCATGACAAGACAGGCACTGTTCCTTTTATCCCATCTTTAACGGAGCGTGGACATGACGTGATGGGAAATGGTAAAAACTCTTGCCATTGCCCATCTAGGGTTTTTTTTTTTTTTTCCTCCTTCCTCGCTGTTTGCCCTTCATGAACCTCACAAAAGCATAATGGATAGTGATTAGACCACACCTTATTGACACGTGGACGCCTCCCATTGCTTAAGCCTCACTTTCTACAGTTTCTCTCTCAACCTTTCCCCCCCTCTCTCTCTCTACATATGTATTTATATATATGTCATGGATTGTATCATGTGCATGGCATGGTCGTGAGCATTTTTTTAATACGAAATAAAACCTTGATCGAAGACAAAAGATAAAAACTCACTTCCTCTCTCTCCGTGTCTCCTTCTCTCTCTCTTGCTAAAGAATCGAAAACCTCTCTAAAAAGCGAGGGCTTTTAGAGCTTCGCTCTCTAATTCTACTCAATCACCTTCGAATCTCTTCTTGTAATTCATATGCTCTTCTTGGTGACCAAATGCTCTCTCTGGTGATACCACTTTTTGAGCTGGCCGTGAAGAATTGAAGTCTAGTTCATTCAATATCGGAGCCTTTTATTTTCTAGTAAATAAAGGTGTGATTCTTACTCGAATTATTCATTTTTATCTTTCTGGGTCCTTTTTTTGTTGATGGTTTGTTGATCTGTGTGAGTTTTAGCTGTGGTTTGGCTTGTTTGTTAGTGTTATTTAGGTCATTTCACTGTTTGATGTACGTCAAGTTTGTTCTTTTCTTTGTGTTTTATCATTTCGTTTCTATCTGGGGTGTGAATTTATCGATTTTTGTGATATTTCACGTGGGTTTTCTTGTGTGTTTTTGTGGTTTGTTGAATTTGTGGTGACCGTTTACCTATATATATACGGTCAATTTCGGAGGAAATGAAACCCTAAAGTCCTCATTTTTTGAATTGATGTACGTGATTGTAACAACTGACTTGGAGCTTTTAGAGAATGTCTTGAATTGGGTTTGTATTTTTTTTTTCTGTTTTAATTGACAGATTAACGACTTCAATTCTTGAGTTAATACTGTTAGTCTTATGTAACCCTAATCTATGACTTGTCTCAATGGGGTCATATCTTGAATTAGTTTGTAATTGGAATGGAGGGGTTTAATTACACGTTTGATTATATTCTATGTGAAGCTTGGATATGGTAACTGAAGATTTATGTTTTTATAAGATGGAGATCTAGGGTTTTTCCAAGTTTTGCTTTGTGATATCTTGTACTTGTTTTTGCAAGTCGTTATTTTATGTGCTTAATCACTTTGATGATAGCATTTTGATGTGTTACTTGATTTAGAATGGAATATAGAAGGAATATTTTGTTTTCAGTTTAAATCTTCTAATAATTATGAACAAACCCTAAGGTGTTTGTTTGGACTATCTCTTAAGATCTTTTGATCTACTTTGGAACTTTAATAGCTTGTTATTTTCATCCATGTTGTTTTAACTTGAATAATGTTGTAGTTTAGCATATGATAATATATATCATTACTTGAGATTTGGGTTTGGAGGCATAAGAAATTTGTCATTTGAGCATTGCAGCATTGACTTTCTTACCATGGAAAGTACTGTCTTAGTGGAGAAGAATCATCCTTGTAACCATTCAAAACTTGTATCCAAGGTGGAATCATCTATTAGGATTGATTCCATAACCATCGACCTGGACAATGTTGATGAGAAAATTGAGGCAGAAAAATGCTCACACTTTTCTATGCGGTAAGCCTTGATCCTAGCTAATCTTTAATATGGCAGGATCCCACTTTAGTTTCTCATGCTACATGTTTTTGTTAAGCACCAGCATTTTCCTGCACGCGTTCTATGGGAATGCTTGTCTGATTTTTGAGGAGTTATCACCATGCAATGCTTCTTTACATGTTTTTTTTTTATGTTTTCTTTTCCTTTTCTCATGTTATATGTTATCTCAGGCTTCCCCTTTACACCTTTTTGTTTGTTTATCATTGAATATACTAGTGATGAGAACTAGCCAATAGGTTTTACTAACAAAGAAGTAGTTGGTTTAACAACAACGATAACTAAATCCTGGAATAATCCAGTGGGAACTGTGAACAAACTAGGAAGGCAAATTGCTACTTGCTGGTCATAAGTATTGATTTCTGAAAGTGTACAACTGAACATTGACAGATATATACAGTGCAGCATTAGATATTAGGAGTTTATTTCATGCGCAGTAAGTTTTCATGCGCTATCTCTTGTTGCTGCAAATGTTGTACTACTGAAAATCAACAAAAAACTTCTATTCTGAATGCAGTGGATATGTATCTGAGATTCGTAAACGAGACTGGAAGATGTGTTGGCCGTTTGTGTCAGATGGTGACAGTAATAACTATGAGGAGCAAGCATGTCTGCTTCCTCCATTACATGTTCCAAAATTCCGATTTTGGCGTTGTGAGAATTGTGTGTGGGAAGTTGGTGCCAAAGGCACTGCAAACTGTTATGGAACTGCTCTAAAATCATGCGGAGCAGAACTCAAATCCACCAACGTTTGTTCACATGGACCAAACTTTGATGATGCTGCAATACTACCATCTGATGTTCAGGAAGCCACAAATCAAGAAATTCCTGAGGGAAGACAGGCTGATGTTTTTGCTAGCTTGAACAGTACCAGTAAATGTCATCATTCACTGTCCATTGATAAAAATGAAAAGAAGACTAAGGATATGAATGGTTCCATCATAGGTATTTACATATATGCTAAGATCCAAGCTTCGTTCTAGAATCATATTAAATAACTGCTCTAAATCATAATAAGCTTTTTTTTTATTTCTTTTTTGATCATTTCTCCAGGGAAACATATGGGGTCAGAAGATAATTTGCAGCATGAAAATCATAGACTGGCATGCGTAGTCACTGAAGTTGTTTCAAGCCCAATTCAGAAGGCAGATCATTCAGATGAAATAGGTAAATTTTCTGAGTAACTTAATGTACAATAGAAGCTAAAAAACAGCTTAACTACCTAGAACTGAAAATCAAAATATTGCATAGCTCTTACCTTCACTCTCTAATAGTAGTGCTTCTGATTTCTGCAACAGTAACCTTCAAGTCAATAGGTATTGACCTATGTGAGTCAGGCTGTGGACATCATGAAGTTGCTGATGCTGACTTTTCTAAAAACCGTAATTGCATGGTAAATAATGCTACTGGACTTTGTGAAGCAGGAAAAGAAACTTCCATAGATGATCAACACAAAGAGCTAATAGCTTGTGGTATATCTGGAGAAGTTGGTAACATTGCTGATGGGGCACTCAGTACTGCCAACAAGGATCCTGTGAGCTGCCGCCCTTCCCTGCAATTAGATGAGTATGATGATCCTTCATCTGAAAGTGCTGAGATCATGGTTGGTCATAATTCTCAGGATGTTCTTCATGAAAATTCAAGTGGTTTGCATCGTAGAAAAACTCGAAAGGTACGCTTGTTGACGGAATTGTTGTGTGAAAATGGGGATAGAGACACTGATAACAGAACTCGGTTTTCTCTGCCCCATGCCTTTCCTGATGCATCTGCTGGAGTTGATAAGATTTCGGTTCTCCAAGGGGAGGTGGCTATCCAGGGAAAAGTTAGAAGGGGCCTGGGTCATAATAGTAAAAGAAAGTTGCCTCAGGATGAAGATTCAAGATCTCTGGAGATGAGGTCTCCCAATAAAGTTTGCAAAGAGATCTTAAAGAGAGATGGGGAATCTGCTGAACCCATTGTGGCTTCTGAATCAGAAGAAGATGCATTTGGTAGAATGGGTTTACAAACTGGCATGAAGATTCAGTGGGCAAAAAACAAAGTTGATAGAAGTCCCATTGTAAGTAAGAAGAAAAACAAAAAGGTACCAAGTTTTGATGAATGTTTGTCTCCAGACCCATCCCAAGAAAATTTGCCAAATGAAATTGGGGAGAAAAATGGAGATAATTCTAGGCCCCATGCTGTTGATGGTGTACTGGCCAAGTCAGTACACAATGCATTTATAGGCAGAGAGATGGACCTTTTCCCTTTGCCTGATCCAAGAATGGAGAAAAATGTTAGTGAGTATAAGAAGAAAGGAAAGATGCCTCAGTTTGATGATTATCAGGTTTCCCCTACTCCTTGGAATCATGACATTCCCAGAGAAGGTCCAGTGATTAGAAAAGATGTGGGGACAATAAATACTGGACCTGTAGTTTTTCCATTTCATTCAGCACAGGAAACATCCCTTGAAAAGGGGCTGGATCTTTCTCTTAACAGCTACAAGACTGCCCAAAGCTATGATGGGAAACATATTCCACTGGTAGAAAATAGGCGAAGTTGTTTATTTACTTGGCAAGAAGGAACTTCCCAAATTCAGGCCACGAGGAAAGCTGCAAAAATTGAGCACGGGGGGAATATCAGTTTCACTTCTAAAATTGCCCGAGGTGCACCTTTTGAGAAAGCACTGCATTGTGATCCCAATACCAAGAGACCTTTTGAAATGCCCTTCTGCAGAGAGAAGCAGAAATACACCTCCCAGGTTGAAATTGGGGGCTGCTCTTTCATGCAGAAAAAGGTATGACCTTCTCTTTTCTTGCTTCTATTGTTGGAGATGCATGTTATCACAGCGTAGAAGGGAATTTTTTTTGGATATATTTTGGGACCTTTGTTTAATGCAATAGGAAAAGTCAAGTAATTACAAGGTTGCATGTTTGAGCTTGGAGAGCCACCACTCCTAATGGTTGAAGGATGGAACTGATTCCAAATTCTGCCAGGAACCAAATTCCCTCACAAAACCTGACTTTGAAGAGAACATAGCGGGCTAATCATTTTTTTTTTTTAAAGTTAAATAAACATTCAAACCTGCCATAGGGATCCAAAATCCTTGTCTTTCCCATTGAGATTATTGCCTAAATGTTATATCATGGAATTCTTTTTTCTGGTTTTTTCATATAGCTTTTATGATTATGGGTGTTTCATAGTTTTGAGCACAGGGTAGTTTATAATTTAGCTTATAAAGTGGCCATCTTTTTTTGGTACCTAGGCTCACATTAGAATCAATGATTCTATATATATATATATATAAATTCAAAACCATGTGGAATTAAACTGATTAAGCGCTGCTTCATAGTATGACTTGTTTGGAGACTACAATATGTTTCTCCTTGTTCCAGGACTTCTGTCACGCTAAAGGCAATGAGGGAACCATTGGAATACTGGAGCATTCAGCTTTTCCAAGGAAAGATGTCAACCAAAGAGCAGACAAGGTGTGTGAACAGGGAGCTTTAGATGACATTCCAATGGAAATTGTAGAACTCATGGCAAAGAATCAGTATGAGAGGTGTCTTCCTGATGGTGAATACGAGAAATGCCAGTTAGAAACAACTAGTAGTTCAAGGAGGAGTCAGACAATAAATTTCAGTCAATTATACGGGCTTGGAGGATTAAGCTTATTTCATCAGGAAACTACTCGGAAACAGAACCCTCCAGCTAGAAGAAATGACATAATAAAGATTGGTGAAATGGCAGGACCAACTAAACAAAAGGAAGTGGATTTCTTTTCTCAAGCTGATCGAAACCCATTCAGCATGAGGCAACTGGAAAAGACTCGTTCCCCAGTAGGGTTTGGGGCATTTCTACAACTTCAAGAGAAGCCATCCGGCAGATTCCAACATCCTGCTTCCAGTTATAACTTACAAAACACTCCTCAAATTTGCAAACAGAGAGGGGAAGTGGCGGGGAATAGTTCTTGTCATACCAGGTTCCAGACCCCAGGATCATGTAACACATGCCACAGCATTCCGCAGCAAAGTAAGGAAGCAAATCAACTTTGGTCATCAATGATGCCAAATCACATGCCCTTTGTATATAGCATTCCTCCAAAGTGTGTGACTCCATCTACCAATGTTGATGTGTTTCCTCATTCTCCTGGCACTGTGCTCAAGGAAAATATGAATGGGGATCGTGTTCTTAAGTTTCCAAACAAGAATGCTGCCAACCTTGGAAAACAAAACAGGAATCTTGATTCAGAAACGCTCCTCAGGACACATGCAGAATACCCTTTTGCTGGAAAACATAATGGGATTGAGCTTAATCATAAGCCAATGGGGTCCTTAGAACTGTATTCTAATGAAACAATACCAGCTATGCACTTGCTCAGCCTCATGGATGCAGGAGTGCAGTCCAGTGCACCGATCAATATGGATGTAAACCCAAAGTTCCTCAAGAGACCTGCCATTATTCACAATGCTGAACCAAAGGAGTTTTCTAGGCTGGACACTGGGGCATTTAAAGTCATTTCTTCTGTGAAGCACCCACCACGTAATCATAATGGTAAAAATCAACTTGCAGAGACTTCCTGTGACCTTATTCCTATCATGCAAACAACAGCTGGTGCATCTTCTTTGTCAATTAGACATGATAAACGTATCAGGAAGCCTGTTGATCTTCCCAGTCCAGTTGTTCAATATAAAGAGAGGAGAAAAGGCTCTGATTCACGCACACAGAATAAGGCAAGTAGGTCACAGACATCAGCAAATGGTGGTTTTGGCACCAACTGTAGATCCATTCCAGCTCATAGCATGCAGATAATGTCTTTTGGTGCTCCAGATCCTTCAGTGATTTCATTTCCATTCTGTGCATCGGAAAACCCAAACAAGCACAAGTTGAAGTCCCGTGATAACAATAGAACTGTTCACCCCTACAAAAGCAGCTCTGAGACTGAAGTCTGCAGTGTGAACAGAAACCCTGCTGATTTTACCATACCGGAAGCTGGAAATATGTATATGATTGCAGGTGAAGCCCTTCGATTTGAAAAGGATGTTCGTTTTGCAAATGGATCTCACTCGCTTAAATTGGATGGGCGCAAACGACAGAGGAAGCTTCCTGCTATGAAAGACCATAGACGACCTCCAATGTCATGATTGTCTGAAATTTCAATGCTGGTAGCTTTTTACAACCTGTATCATTTTCTGAACGATTAATTTTCATGTTTTGACTTGATAGACAAGTTAAATAGCTTCTTTCATAAAAGTTGTTGCTTGTTTTCATGAATTTCATATTTCATTTCAGCAGGTGCAGTCTTGCTTCCCGTGCCAGCTTCTGCAACATCAGAAAATGTCAAAAGATTTGTGAAGATCAGAGAGCAACTGCTGAAATTGATATTAATTTTGGAACCACGAATCCATTTACTCTAGGTCTTGTTGAGTTCGAATCTCTGCAACTGAGTCATGGAAGCATGCTGAGTGATGATTGGGCGTGTATATACCTAATATGCCTCGAGATCCACAAGTAACTGTCTATGCATGTGCTTCTGCATTTCAGTTGTATTTTGGTGTGAATAATACCCCGCAAGGTTCCAGAAAAGCCTGACATTTCAAAAGGACCTCCTACTCCACTGATGGCTTTTGGCTCCAGTCTTGATCAGGAAGTGGGAATGGAAATAGGGAGAAGGGCATTAACAAGTATAATAATTGGACACCTCTTGCTGGAGATTACTAGGTGTTCATCAAGTCAGCCATCGTCGGCTGTACTTCAGTGTTGTAATCTATATAAGGTAAGAAAATTAGAGGGAGACTTGTAATCTTTTGGAACACAAGGGAAAGAGACGATGTGTTAGGAAGATTTGAGTTAGCTAGAAACAGACCATAGCAGATCAAGCAGATAAATCACTCTGATTAAACCCTATAGACTGTTATTTGGTTTCAATCACAGAAATTCTTGAGAAGGATAGCTACTTGAGTAGTGCACCTTCTTAATATGTTTTTATGGGATTGATTTTTGTTCCAATACCAGCCAGAGCATCCTTCGAAAGGTTGAGGCCTTGTCTAAGACTCATGTTAAAGAATTAAGGTTGATTTTCTGGTGAATCACAGTTCCCTTCATCAGGTGGCTAAGCAGGAGCATGTTTGAGTGAACACTTCGGCCACCTGAATGGCAGAGCTTAGCATAGCTTAGCTGTATTTTGTGAGTGTGGATACAGTAATTCACCCACACCATATTTGTTTTTGTTAATTTAATGTGGAATTAGGGTTTATCTTTTTTTTTTTTGGATTGAGAAGCTATTTATTATGAGATGTTTACTAAGTTACATTATCATATTGAAAAAAAAATATAAAACATATTTAATTAATAGATGATAAAAAGAAATTCTCAAAGAACCAAACTTTTCTATTAATATACTAAATAGAAAAAAAGGAGATGGGAAAACAATTCTCTTTTTGTTAGATTGCTAGCTAGCTGAGACACCTTTAAAAATCCTCTTCTCAAGGCTTTTTAATTTGTCTCAAGATTTATGAACAACAGTTGCTGATTTATGTATTATGGATCGATACAGAGTAACATCATTGCTTGGTAATTCACATGAAAAAAAAGAAAAAAATTAAGACAAATAAAAATGAATCTATAGATTTTTGAATTGGTTAGGTTTTAAATGGTGTATGGTTGGAAACAAAACACATTTTTCAAAACATATGTTAGGCCACCTATTGGATAAAGTGTTTTTCATTTTAAAATATATTAAAATAATATTTTTTTATTTTTTAAAATTATTTTTAATATCAGTAGATTAAAATAATTTTAAAATATAAAAAATAAATTAATTTAAAATAAAATAAAAATAAAATATTTTTAAAAATACTTTCCGACTTGAGTTCCAAACATAGCTTAAAATGAAGGGTGTGTATTGTAGTCTATCATGGCAGACAACAATAGAACGAAAATAAGCCTTTGGCATATTAAAAATAAAATGAGGTAAAAAAAAGAAATTATAAGGGAAATGAGAATAGACAAATGATCGATATTAAAAACAATCTTATAAATTAAGCTTCACACAATCCAATAATTTAAATTTATGAAAATATTAAAACAGTAATTATTATGTAGTCACACATAATAATTAGTACTGTTTTAATATTTTAGAGTTTGTTTATAAATACGGTCACAAATTATTTTTAATATTAATATATCAAAATGATTTAAAAACACTAAAAACATACTATATTAATTTAAAGTTAATAAAAAAAATTAAATTTTTTTAAAAATATTTTTAAAATACATAAATAAACAAACAACCCATGTAAAATTGCAGTAATCCATTAGAATATTAAAACTATATAATATATAATTAATCGAGTAAGACGTAAGAATAAAAGTTCATGCTCCAGTCCTTTTCGTGTATGGTGCCATTAATTTTTAATTTCTTGTTCTTTATTTTAAAATAAAATAAGTGTTCCTGAATGTGTCCTCTTTCGCTATAAGAATGTCTTTCTGCCTGTACAGTTATTTATGACAGCATTGATCTCAGATGGTGACATGTTGAATTGTGTACAGTCTTCCTTTCTCTCATTAAGAGTGGTTAGGGGTGTTTATTTAATTTTGTGTTTATGTGGGGTTGTTTAAAGGGGTTTTTTTTATTTGAAAAAAATATTAAATTAATTTTTTTTTAATCTTTTTAGTTTTAATATACTAATATAAAAAATAATTTTAAAAAATATGTTATAAAATAATACCAAACACATACTAAAATGAATTTCAAAATTAATTAATTAATTATAAGATTGTTACAATAATTATATGACCCACTTAAAATTAATTAATTAAATTTGTGTGGAAACCTAACATACCTAATAACTACTCATATTAGGACAAACATAAACTTCCATTCACGATTAAACCTAATAATTACTCGTATTATAACAAATATAAACTTACATTTACATTTATTAATATTATTTAAATAAATTTATTAAAGAACCATCTCAATCTAAAAACTTAAATTATCATATAAAATATCAAGATTTATTATAATTTAATAAACCTTTTCAAGTAAAAATAATTTAAATTTAAAATTCACACAGACTCATATTACCTTGTATTAACTTATATTACCTTGTATTAGCTTGTGAAGCTTTAAACTTGTAATTAGTTAGTTAATAAAAGATTTCAAGTTAAAAATTTAAACTATTAAATAAATTTATAAGATATAATTGATATTATTTTCTAATAAAATTAATAATTAATTAAATTACAGCTTTCCATTCGTTTTTCTTCACGAGAGGAAAAGATTAATTCAACAAAAAAAGTTAAATGACAATAAGCCAATTACAGAAAAGCAGAGGCTAAGGGGCCAAAACAGCAGAAAGAGACTGAAAAGGGGCACAAGGATCATCACCAAAAGAGCATGCATGGAGGCTTGCTTGATATGGAAGCAGAAGGTGCATGAGCGAGAACGAAAGTGCTCCGAAAATGCTGTTAATAAATCTGGATATTGATACAATCCATCTCATTAATTTGCTGTTAATGAAGATTCTCAATAAAATGATTAATTTTCATTAATCACACCTTAATTACTCCCCTAATTCTCATGCATTTCCAGTATGCTAGAATGTCAAATGATCACTATTGAAACTGATGATCAGTTGTCCTCCTTCGATGCCTTCCAAGATAGACTTCTTCATCATCATGCGTGTAGCTACTAGCTAGGGCTTCTTCTTGTTCTTCTTGTTCTTGTTCTTGTTGTTCTTCTTCTTAATCTAATACTTGTGAAGCTTTAAACTTGTAATTAGTTAGTTAATAAAAGATTTCAAGTTAAAAATTTAAACTATTAAATAAATTTATAAGATATAATTGATATTATTTTCTAATAAAATTAATAATTAATTAAATTACAGCTTTCCATTCGTTTTTCTTCACGAGAGGAAAAGATTAATTCAACAAAAAAAGTTAAATGACAATAAGCCAATTACAGAAAAGCAGAGGCTAAGGGGCCAAAACAGCAGAAAGAGACTGAAAAGGGGCACAAGGATCATCACCAAAAGAGCATGCATGGAGGCTTGCTTGATATGGAAGCAGAAGGTGCATGAGCGAGAACGAAAGTGCTCCGAAAATGCTGTTAATAAATCTGGATATTGATACAATCCATCTCATTAATTTGCTGTTAATGAAGATTCTCAATAAAATGATTAATTTTCATTAATCACACCTTAATTACTCCCCTAATTCTCATGCATTTCCAGTATGCTAGAATGTCAAATGATCACTATTGAAACTGATGATCAGTTGTCCTTCTTCGATGCCTTCCAAGATAGACTTGTAGCTACTAGCTAGGGCTTCTTGTTCTTGTTGTTCTTCTTCTTAATCCCTCTACTTAGACTAGTTTAATTAGTATTAATTTGCATTTAATTATAGTCTGCATGCAAATCCGAATTGATGATGTTAAGCCAGATGTAATATATCGCATGCCCATGCCATAGCTCAAAAACCCTTTATTCCAAGAACTTATTCTCCTACTGGCCTTTTCTTTTCTTCATTCCACATGAATAATTTCATGTTTTCTTTCACTTTAACTAACTGTATATGCTCAAATAATTAATAATAGTAAATACTATATAGTGCAAGAGAGAGCCAGAAATTTTTCTTGTCTTAGACTATTAAATAAATATATAATTTTTTTTAAGATTAATTATTAACTTGTGTATTTAAATTTATGAAGTTAACAATAAAGTTTTAAAATATATTATCTTAAATATTAAAAAATAAATTTAAAAATACATAAAATAAAATAAAAATAAAAATAAACTCATTATTAAAGTTATGTTCTTTGATATTTTGTGGAATATAATTTATGTATAATCGAACTAAAATAACAATCTCATATCAATTAAAAAATAAAGTAATTAAATTTTTTTCTTCTTTCAATTTCTCCTTCCTTCGCTTGATTAATATTTTATAAATTTGACTTTGTAAGTTTACAAAGTTATTCTTTCACTTTTATTATTTTTTTCATTGGATTTTTTTTATGTTTTTCCTTTACTTTATTTTTTCTCTCTCGTCTTTTATTTTTCTTTTCCTATTATACTTTTGCCCGATCATCAATATATAAAAGGAAGAAAGAACTAATTTGTTTTATTTTTTAATGATAAATAATTATTTTACTCTTAATGAGTCATTTTGCTTTTATTTAATGATTTTTTTGTTGGCACTACCAAGCTCCATTCATCCTAAAATTTTAGCTGAAATTTATTTAATATATTTTAATATTTCTCATAAAATTTCAGCTTAACATGATGATTAAATTAAAAATTACTTCTAATAACATAAAACTAATTAAATTATAATTTTTTATTAAATTTCTGAATTTATCTAAAAACTCTAAAATTTTAATTTAAATTAAAGTATTATATTAGAAGACTCCACACAGAATTTCAGAATTTTTTTAATAATTCGATTAATAATTAAGAATTTATTTTTAAATAAAATTAATAAAAAAATACTGATAAAATCTTAACCTACACTGTAACCCATCCATTGGCTATTAATTTGTGGTAATCTCTTTATGCGTGCAGACACATATATCATATACAGTACGAGTAGACGTTCAAAACCTTAGATCCATGGATTCCCCATCGATCTAAGCTTATATCCTAGGATGGAGATCTTGATCAGCTAGGAACAATAAATTCTACAGCTACAAGGACGGGACCCTTGATGATAAGAAAACCTGCATCACCACACATGCATGCGCCATCGCCACCGGCACCTGATCATTCTTACACTAGTAATTTATGATTCCCTTCGAAACCCTACAGTAGGGCTGCAATTTTATCCGATCATCTCCACCGACAACCTCTCAGATAACACCATTTATGGCATCTATTCCACTAGCTAGGACCCACTTAATTTCCTCGCTTTCTATTAATAAAAACATTAAAAGATTTCAGTTGGAATTAATAAAAACTTTAAAAGATTTAACAGTTGTACGTAGTTTGTAAAATTAGCATATGATTAACCATGAAATACTGTTTGGATTATGA